AAGTGGCCCTGTTACTCCGCTGAACTGGCCTAACAAGGAAGGTGCATAAGGAGGAAGAGAAGCAGAGATGCAAAGGAGAGAGGAAACAGGACTCGCTCACGAAGACTGTCATTCACTAAAGAGTAGTTATGTACTACGCATTTTCCTCATGCATTTCCTCACTTAACAGCCCTGTGAAATAAATACTACTGCTATCTCTGTCGTACGTTTGGAAGAAACTGAGATTTAGAGAAGGATAGAACAAGTCACTCACCTGAGATTCTAAAAGAAAAAAAAAAAGAAAAACAAAAAACAGCAGAAAATGGCAAAGCTGAGATATAACCCTGAGCCTTCAGACTCCTCAACTGAGCTCTTTTACCCCCACCCAGTGCTGCCCAGAAGACTGCGAGAAGAAAAAACTAGAAATAAAGGATTTGGGATGTTATTGAGAAAGTAAAAGTGAACCCGAGGCATAATCAGAGGACTTAATCCCAGGCCACCTGATTTTATTTAGGAAATGACATAGTCATGGGCTCTACTCCGCCTGGCTTCAGAGTCCCTACCCAATAGAGACTGGGCCTTGAGGGAGCAACTTGGGACCATTTCATACATTCCTGCTGCCAAGCCAGAAATGAAATTAATCCTCAGGCTAGACAGAACAATTAAGTTCCTAGGTACCTGGAGGGGTAAGGGTTTGTGTTCCCCTAACAGACTTCTTTAGTTGCGGGGGTGAAACCTAGGAGAGTTTTTATTGTTGTTGTTATTGTTAATTGTTTGTGTTTGAATTATGGTTCCTAACCATTTAGGGCTTTGCAGAACCCTTGGAGAATCTAATTAAAGTCCTAGCTTCTCCCCCAGAAAAATGTGTGTGCGCATATACACACACAATTATACGTATAATTTCAGGGTGATCACCCCCACCCCCTCAAGCTCATCCACAGACAACTGCATCTAGGAGTCCATGGACACAGTTTAAAATCCCTGAAACCTGGGTGTGAGTCCCAGGTCTCCCTCTGCCTAGCTACATGATCTTAGGCAACTCACTCCATGTCTCTGAACTCCATTCTAGGCAGCCATAGAGTGGAGGTGAAGAATTGCCGCTCTGGGTAACGCTAATTTTAGGGAATAATAATTTTGACAAGATTCTGTTGAAGGATTTAAACCAGCCCTCAAACATAGAAGCCTTGCCATCCAAAAATTACATGAAGAAGTGAGGAGGGAAGTGGGGATATTTAGCCAGGGAAGGAAAACCCCACAGAGTCGTGCAGCCCTCTGAAATGGGTTGAAAGCATTTTCATGTGAATGAAGAGTAGTCTTATTCTGTAAGTGGCTGCAGAGGGGAGATGGGGTGAGGACGAAGCAGATAGCCTGGTGTTAGTGTGGCATGAGAGCTGAACAGACATGGGTTAAAACCAGGTCCATCATTTACCAGAGAAGTTACACAACCTTCATGGACTCTGAAATGGAGGTGATAATGGTATCTATCTCACAGGATTTTGTGAAAAATCAAAGTAATGCATGTAAACTGCATAGTGTTAAAACAAAGAAAGACCTCAGTAGGTTTTAGCTTCTCTAATAAACTCTCTGACCCTCCATTTCTTTATCTGTAAAATGAGGATAATATCTGTACCTGACTAGAAGGTCATTGTAAGATTTAAATAAGAAAATATGTGTTAAAAACCCTTGGTACAGCATATAACACACGGCTAAGTCCTCAGTAGATGGTAAGTGCAATTCTTATTATGAATGTGTCATTACAAAAACCAATGGGAAGAGAGGATGGTAAATGAAAGAACATGACCTTTTATTTCAGACTGGAAGGCAAGGCAGGATAAAATAATATCTAAAACAGTGGAATCAGGGCCGGCCCGGTGGCTTAGCGGTTAAGTGCGCGCGCTCCACTGCTGGCGGCCCGGGTTCGGATCCCTGGCGTGCACTGACGCACCACTTCTCCGGCCATGCTGAGGCCGCATCCCACACACAGCAACTAGAAGGATGTGCAGCTATGACATACAACTATCTACTGGGGCTTTGGTGGGGGGGGAGGGAAAGACAGTGGAATCAGAGCTCGACTTCCTGGATCTGGTACCTGAGAGCTGTGTGGCCTTGGGAAAGTTACATAAAATAGGGATGTGAGCATCTGCCAAAGAGAGATTGAATGAAGCGGCCCATGAGAACAGCTTGGCACTGCACCAGCACAAGATATGTGCTCAATAAACCCTAGTTTCTTCCATAATGAGTAGATGTTACATGGAGACTGACAGACCTCCTTATAACAAGCTCCCCTTCAGCAGTGCAGCCTATGGATATTACAGCAAGCATTCTTTCTCTTCTGGGATTTATCAAGGAGGAGTAAAATGAAAATTATCAGGAGTACTATAGAAGAGGGTAAAACATCAGATGACCTCTTGCTCCCTTGCAAATCAATGTAGAATAGTCCAAGACTTAAAAGGCATAAATGATAACACTTTGAAAACTCCTTGTCCACTCTACATCCCTTTTCTAGTTGCTACCTTCTCTTCTGCCGGAAAATAGACCCCCACCCTTACCCATCCCACGGACAAAGATCATTTGGATCTTCGGAGCCCTGTTTCCTTAAGTTATCAACAACCAGTCCTGATTTTCTGTCTTCCCGCTGTCTGAGTCAGTGCATGCCAAAGCTTTTCCACGTTAGAGCACCCTGGCATTTCATCTTGATGCATAGTCTTCCTTCAAAACCTGTCCCCTTTCCACTCACTTTTGTCTGTCCCCTCCAATTCTATCTTCCGAGGCTTTGTGAGTGGTGTTACATTGCCTCCTTCACAGAGTTAAAGGATGGCTGTTTTCCGGCTAATAAACATATAAAAAAGACACTTAAACTCTGTGTTAATCAGAACAACAAAGGAAGGAGATGACATTTTCTCAGGAGATTGAAAAAATTAAACAAATGGTCATGTCAAGTGGAGGGAGGATATGAGAAAGCAGATACTCCCTGGGTGGGAAAATAAATTGGCACAGCCTTTTCCGGAGAACAATTTTGTAACAGTTATTAAATTTAAAAGTGCACACTTCTTTCAGCTAGCATTTCTCCTTCTCGGTCACCGCCCTAGCTAGAGAAACACTTGCATAAACACTTAAGGAGACACTCAACATACAGGAATGTTCACTGCCAACTATTTATCATAATGAAACATTGGAACAACCTAAATGCCCCTCAGTGGGCAATGGATACTATAAGTATTTGTAGTGTAAAATACTATACAGCAATTTAACATGATGGTGCAGATCTACATGGACCGAAGAAGAAAGTGGCCCAGCGCATAATTTTAGATGAATAAAACAAAATGCGGAAGGCTGCATACAGTGTGATAGCATTTTTTAAAAACCCACACACAAAACAAACTGTATATTTCTATATCTATGCACACACATTGGGAATAGAAAAAGATCTGAAGAATGATCATCTTCAACTAACAGCAGTGATTATCTCAGAGGATGGGCTGGGATTAAAGACGGGAAGTCAAAGAGAATTTTATTTCTACCTTTTTTTATGTATCCCTAACAAAAATACATTAGTGTGCTATTTGTGTAATTTAAAATAAGTTAATAATATTTTGAAAAGTGAATGGGTGATTTTCCTACTAGCATTCCTAGCTTCAAGTCAGAAGCGGCTGAGGAAGAAGGGGGATCCCAGCAGGGGGATGAAGGAGTGAGTGGGGAAGGAAGAAGCCGGCGCTGATTCCTTTAGCATGTTTCACTTTCATCCCAGCTTGCTGGAGGATGTAAGACGTGACCACAGTGGAACCAAAATAGCTGAATCCCAAGACAAGCAGGCAGATGACAGACGGTCCCCAGGGCCAAAGACAAACCACTATCGGGAACACAGCCCCCTCACCTCTTGGCTGAGGAGAAGTCACCAAGTCACTCATTTCCCACATCGATGCCTGGGACGTTGACTGTGGAACCCAATCTTTGGACTCTGGAAAAAACAAAGGAAAAGAGAAAACAAACTTAGAAAAATGCTTATCTTCCTATTTTTGGTGGCCTACTGTCCCCTAAACTGACTTTTGTCATAAAAAAGAAGAGCTAATATTTACTGGGTATTTAGTACATGCTGGACATTGTTCTAAGTGATCTACATGCCATCTCTCATTGAATCCTCAGAAAGAGACATAGGATACGTGTCACTACTATTCCCATCTTACCAATGAGGAAGCCAAGGCCCAACGAGATTAAGTAACTTTCTCAAAGTCACACAGCAGGTAAGAGGCAGGATTTGTACCCAGGCAGTGTCACGTCAGAGCACACACATGAGCCACTCTACTATACTGCCTCCCTGTGTTGTACTATCACAAGCCTTGATTTATTTTACCCCACAGGTGTCTGTTTTCTCCCACTTGACTATAAGCCCCATTGAGGGAACATCTACAATTTAAGTGCCTACTGTGTGCCATGTAAGGCTTTTACATGTGTGAAGTTATACAATTCTACAACAAACCTAGGAATAAACCAAGGCCAGAGACCCCCGACAAAAAGGAGTAGAACTGGCAGTCAAGCCTGGGCAGTCCTCTCTAGCACCCTCAAGGTGCTTGTCTTATTTTTAGGGTATTCTCTGCCCCAGGGCCCTAGTAAATCCTAAAGAAGTCTTGACGGGTGGATAAAAGGACAAATGAATGAAAGAATTCTCCCTCCACTATAAAAAGCCAATGAGATCAACAAAAGAAGATTGGTGTGCTTAAAATTAGGATGAGACAGCTAAGCACCACCTAGCCCAGAGTGGAAAGGCAGATGTTCTAGACACATGCCACCATGGAGAATTGCACAAACAAATCAAGGTCGATGTCTGTCTGCCTGTCTCTCTCTCTCTCTCAAGTCACAAGAATGAATGAACCACAAATGCTGCCCTGACACCAATTTCTCCTAGGTGGGCTTCATGGCACACAGGACCCAAAAGTTATCTCTAGTCATCTGATTCAACAACATTTTATTCTCCTTAATCCAAAGGATGAGAAGAGAAGAGGGGAGAGCACGTGTCCACATACCTTCAGATGTGAACAAGGCAGTGTCTCCGGAAGTCACCTCAGAGGGTGTCTGGGAGTCACTGGAGGGAGGGAAAGTTTCTGATTCTGGAAGAGAAAAAAAGTTTGATAAAAGGCAGCTAAAAAATAAGTGTTTGTGCTGAGTGGTGGGATTCAGGTCTATTTTTATAGTTGTCTTTGTGCTTTTCTATATATTTCAGGTTTTCTTCAAGGATTGCAAGTAATTTTTAGAATCAAGGGAAAAAATTACAAATGTTGTATTTTAAGATTTTAAAGGCCAAAAGAATAAAAAATACATACAAAAATTGATTGGTTTATAGTTCACGGATTTTAGGTGACTACTCAGAGTATAATAGAATTAACCAATTCAATACTGTAAAGCTATTTAGATAAGCCAGGTCTTACCGAGGCAGTTGAAATACCTAAGAAAGCCTTCAAACTGTCCTATGATGGTTTTCCAATATTCTTACCTGAGAATCAGAGGTTGAAACACGGTGGGAGCTTTGATAAGTCCCTGTAAGTAACGGAGCTAGTAACTCAGTGAGAGGTCCTAGATGAGTATCAAGAAAGATTCAGAAGAAAAAAGAAAGAGGAAACAAGCGTAGAACCAGTTCATCATCAGGGGATATTTTAAGGCCTTTAAGGGCTTTCCTCAACCAATCTTTGATGCCCAAGCAGAGAATTAACCCCCGGCAGGACGGAACTAGAATCTGACCCAGGGTGACATTTCCTGCTTCTTCAATAAACGTCTCCAAGACTCCTGGAAGGTCAATTGGAGAGCCAAAAAAGCTGACTTTTCAAAAACACAAAAGAAAAAAACAGGAAAAAAACAAAAAGGAAACCATAAAACAAAGAAAAGGAAGATTTAGTGAAACCACATCCTCACACACACACACACACACACACACACAGACACACACACACACACAAATGCACAGTTTTGGGCTGAACTGTATCCCCCCCAAATTTATATGTTGACATTCTTACCCCCAGTACCTAAGAATGTGACTGTATGTGGAGAAAGAAGTAATTAAGGTAAAACGAGGTTATATGAATGGGCCCTAATCCAATATTACTGGTGTCTTTATAAGAAGAGGAGATTAGGAAACAGACATGCACAAAGAGAAGACCATGTGATGACATAGGGAGAAGATGGCCATCTATAAACCAAATAAAGAGGCCCCAGAAGAAATCAACCCTCCTGACACCTTTATCTCAGACTTCTAGCCTCCAGAATTGTGAAAAAATAAATTTCTGTTGTTTAAGGCACCCATTCTGTGGTATTTGTTACCACAGCTCTAGCAAACTAATACACACACACACACACACACACAAGCAAGTTTCTGGGCTGCCCCATTCAGTGGGAGAACCCTGTTCCAAAGGAACTAAGATACATCTGACCAGCAGAAGGGAAAGAATGGCCAATTGTACTACGTACCTTCAGTGAGGAAAGGCCCTTCTGGGGAGGGCTCAGTGATCAGAAGAATTGTGGTTGCCTCAGGAAGGTTACTCAGTGTTGTTGGAGAGCATGTGGTTGCCATTGTTGTGAGGGCAGTGGTGGTTTTTGTCTCAAGTGGTGTTCCAGTTGTGAGGTCAGGTGTCGTCATGACTGTTGTTGGAAGCACAGCTGTGCTTGTCGTCATAGCAGTGGTGGTGGTTGGGCGGCGGGTTGTTCTTGACTCAGTGGTTGTTGTAGCTGTAACCAATGGAAGATATGTCTGATACTAAGTGGAGATGGAGGAAAAGGGAAACAATACAAATATATCTGGGATCCATCCGTTTCTCTCCTTTTATGTGGCCCTCACCTGGTCCACTGGCCAGGACCATTGTAGTGCCCACGAAAATTGCGTTTCTTGCCTCTACTCTTGACCTGTCGAATCTGTTCTTCACACATTGGCTAGAGTAATCTTTTAAAATGACAAATCTAATTATGTCAGTCCCCTGCTTAAAACTTTTTACTGGGTCCTCCTTGCCCTTAAGATAAAGAACCCAACTCCCAACCTTGGCCTGCATAACTCCACCTGATCTGGCTCTGTCTTTCTTTCCAATCTCGTGTCTCCACTCTACTCATCTCACTTTTCCCCAGCCCACCGGCCTTTCTTCAGTTCTTTGAAGAGCAACCTTCTGGCTGGAGGAACTTTGAACCTGCTGCTTCCTAGTCTCTCTGTTCAATAGGCTAACTCCTACTTAACTCTCATGTCTCAGCCAAAAGGACACTTCTGCAAGGAGGTCATCCATATTCTAATAAGAATTAGGTCTCTTGGTTTTGTGCTCTCATACTTTACCTTGACAGCATTTCTTGCATTTCATAACTACACATTTATTTGGTGACTATTGTTTAACACCTGCTTCTCCCACTAGACTGTTAGCCCCGTAAAGGGAAAATCTGGTATTTATTTTGTTCTCTGCTACAAATATAATACCTACCACAGTGCTGGCACGTAGTAGGTGTTCCATAAACATTGCATGGATGAGTGAATTAAGGATTGCATCTAAAGTGAGCCCAAATACAAAATTCCAGTCAAGCAAGATGAATAAGCTCTAGAGATCTGCTGCACAACATTGCACCTACAGTTAACAATAATATATTGTGCACTTGAAAATTTATTAAGGTAGGATAGAACTCATTTTAGGTGTTCTTTCCACAATGAAATAAAATTAAAATTAAAATCTGAAAATAAAGTGAGCCCAAAGTATGCAACATAGGGTGAGAATGTAGTCTCTTTCAGATGTTAAAGATTAGTTCATGACAACACAACTCACCCCTAACCATTTGAATTTGGGTTCATTAGCCACAGTTATTCTACAGATACCCCCTTCTCTTAAATACACCAAATATCTATTAACTCTAATGGAACAGAGAGACCCCATTAGTTTCAAGTGAACTTAGAAATGACTCCACAGAGTGCTGAGGTCAACAAATACTTTATAAAACAATAGCTGGTTATACCAGGCTTGAAAGAAGAAGACTTGGATTGGCATCATTTATCTTCAATAAATCAGAGTAATACCTTCTATCTCACAAAGTTACTTTGAGAGAAAAATATACTAATGTGTATGAAAGTTCTCTGATTAGAAGTATCCACATCAGTTGTTCTCAAATTTTAGAGTGCATTTGAATCACCTGAGAAGCTTGTTAAGTGTATAGATATCCAGACCCTGCCTTCCAAGATGCCAATCCAGTTAGGAATAGAGCTCAAGAATCCTCCATTATTGACGCAGATTGAAAACAGAGCTTACTTTGAGAAACTCCATTCCAGACAAGCAGGAAAGATGATTATCATTAGCATAATTCAACTATAGCCTGCCCTCCATGCAACTTACATCTTGAGGAGTTCTGCCATATTCCAAATTTCATCAAAAGCAATGATAGTAAGAGGAGGAAAGAACACCTGAAAACTACTATGACTTTCTCCAAATCCCACGCCCTTTCCCTCTGCCAGAAGTCACACACTATTGGCTTATGAGCTGAAGATGACCCAGGGACACATTTTATTTAGTTTACGCAGTATTTTTTTTTAATTTTGAAATCTTTCCCAACGTGCAAAAATCAATATAGTTCACATAAAAATTGAGAGATCCGTAAACACTGGACCCAAGTTTCTGCAAGGCAACAATCCGCTAGCTAAGAAGCAGCTGCCCTCTTCAGATTGACCCTGCAATTCACTGATTCCCTTCCCGAACCCCAACCCACACTCATTCATTTCTGTGGCCTTCTTGGCCCCCATGGACATTGCACCATACCACGGCTCCTCTAGTCATAGCAACACATCTCAGATTTAATCCGCCCACTCTTTGCTTAAGCAGATACAATCTCTCCAACAGCACCCACTGAATCCATCACTCATTAACCACTGACTCTCTTCCTCCACACACAGCAGCCTCTTTGCGGGCTCACCTCTACTCAGCTGCAGGCGAATGTTCTTTTTCACATCGTTGAACCAGCCAGGCACCTCTATGCGGCAGCAGTACACACTGCTGTCGGCTTCGTTGGTGTTAGAGATGGTCAAGGAGACATCGCCTCTCTGGATATTCCCCTGAAGTTTGTATTTTGACGACTTGCTCCAGAGCACCCTACTCCCATCGGTGTGGAGAAGCTCTTCATTGCATTTGGAGTTGGGACACTGGCCTTTGCCCCAGCACATGCTGTTGCCATTCTGAGACCAGGAGGAGTACATACAGGGCAAAGTCACCGTCTGACCCAAATATGCTCTCACGACAATCTCTGATGCGGTTGAAGCTATGAGGAAAGATGAGAAAACTAGGTTGTGTGGTACTAAAATTTCTCAAATATGTTACACAGTGATTGCGTAGATAGATGCTTTCAGGAAGATGAAGAGAGTCATAGCCTATGTGTTTCTTTAGCCTAAATTCTGATGTGCCCTTCACTGCTGCTGAGCTCCTAACTTAACACACTTCCATCCCCCAAGTGGAGACAGTTGGCTCCCCTGAGTCTCTGAACTCATCTCTGCAGCAAGACCTTTTTGCTGATTTAAAAACTCTGATCTTGAGTACCGTTCAATAAACCAATAAACTCTCCTGTGAAAAATCTTGATCCTTTAACCCAATTCCGCTAACTCATATAAACAGGTCCAAAAACAACACTCTACCCACTGTATCTCATTAAGCAGTGATCATGGACTGCTGACTTGAATGCCTCAAATGAGCCTCCCTCTGTCTTCCAATCCAGAGAGTGCTATGGCAGGAAGATAGGCTGTTGAATTATATTCCGTTGTCCTTCTCTCCTTTTAGTATTAGAAATAGAAATTAATTGCTCTGGACCATTTATTTAGTGCTAGAGAATATGAAGTTAGGTGGAGTTGAAGGATTCTTTTAATGTTAGGACTGGAAGGGACCACAGGAATTATCTAGAATGGCAGCTGTGACATACAAAAATGCTGGAGGGTTAGTTTTACCATATTAGCTATGAGATGGAAGGTATCACGATTTCTAAAATGAAGTATCCATGTTCCCCAGCCTCAGCTGTTCATCAGCATGACCTAGAGAGCTTGTTAAAAATACTTGATTGCCCAAGTCAGAATCACTGAAGCCAAGGCCCATGGAAATGTACATAACCAAGTTCTCTAGGTCATTCCGATATCATTGGCCACTCACCCAGGGTTTGAGGACCACTAGACAAGCTCTCCTAAGGTTAGTTCCATCTTTGAGAATCTGCAAAACATTTTCACTGCTGCAAATGTTAAGCCCACTGGTTTAATTGAGCATCAGCGATTGTTATAAACCAAATAAAAGCTATTGAAGTGAGAGCCAGGCAGGCTGAAGCTCAAATCATCAAGACCACATCCTGCTCCCTCTTGGTACCTAGGTCTCTGCTCATTATTTTCTCCAAAGTACCCTCTTGTGAGACTCTCTATTCACAAATTTTGTTGACCCAGTTGGCTAAGTTGTATAAGACATGGCCAGCAGTACCCTGTTCCTCCCTGACCCAGGTGTCAGGAACGTCCAGTTACCCCTCTCCAGGAGAAGGCCGGCACAGCCCTAAGAGTCGCTACATAGTAAGCAAAACATTGTGCTTCCTGAGTTTATCACAGTTGGCTTTCATGACGAAGGTCATTCCAAATTGAGACCAGCCTGGAGACTTCCCTGAGCTCACAGTCTCTTCACTTTGTCACAGTGGAAATGTTTCCCAGATTGTAAATGCTATGGAAGCCCGTTTTGCCCCCTATGAAGCCAGGAAAAAAAAAAGAAATTCCTTGTCATCACCCTCAGCTGTGTTAGCAACACAGAACACATGCACCTAAAACTAATAACTTCTAAAATATGAGTTATTTCCTATGAATGTTGGGTAAATTAATTTTAAAAAGGTACAAGAATTATTTCTACTGGAGATTCAACAGTTCATTTTCCCAAGTATCATAGCATAGAAGGAGGCATCCCACTACTCAGTAAGAAAAGACTGCATCCCATAAGTTTTGATATGTTATGTTTTCATTTTCATTTGTCTCAGTATATTTCTTTTATTTCCCTTTTGATTTTTTCTTTGACCCATTGGTTGTTCAGAAGTGTGTTGTCTAATTCCACACATTTGTGAATTTTTCAATTTTATTCCTCTTATTCAATTCCAGTGTCATACCTTTGTGTTCAGGAAAAATACTTGATATGATTTCAATCTTCTTGAATTTGTTAAGACTTGTTTTGTGGCCTAACATGTGATCTATCCTAGAGAATGTTTGGTGTGTGCTTGAGAAGCATGTGTGTTCTGCTGCTGTTGAAAGGAACGTTCTGTACATGTCTTCTGTTAGGTCAATTTGGTGTAAATGTTAAGTCTGCTGTTCTCTTATTGATTTTCTATCTGGATGATCTATCCATTGTTGAGAGTGGAGTATTGAAGTTTTCTACCATTATTGTATTGCTGTCTCTTTTTCCCTTCAGTCTGTTAATATTTTCTTTATATATTTAGGTGTTCTAATGTTGGGTGAATATATATTTATAATTGTTACATCTTCCCAAATAAATTGACACTTTTATCATTGTATAATGACCTTTGTCTCTTGTAACAGTTTTTGATTTAAAATCTATTTTGTCTGATATAAGTATAGCGACCTCTGCTCTCTTTTGGTTACAATTTGTGTGGAATATCTTTTTTCATACCTTCACTTTCAGCCTATGTGTGTCCTTAAAGCTAAAGTGAGTCTCTTGTACACAGCTTACAGTTGGATCTTGTTTTTTTAATCCATTCAGCCACTCTATGTGTCTTGATTGGGGAATTTAATCCATTTACATTTAAAGTAATTATTGATAGGTAGAGAATTACTGTTGCCATTTTGTTAACTGTTTTCTGTTTTGTAGTTCTTTTGGTCCTTTCTTCTTCTCTTGATTTCTTCCTTTGTTAGTTGATTGTTTTTTTGTAGTGTTATATTTTTTGTTTATCTGTAACAAAATTTTCTTTATGATTTCTTTATGATTGCCATGGGGCTGCCATGGTAAAACTGGCAAAGGACTTAACAGGCAATTCACAGATAAGACCAGTAAACTTCACCTATTAGAGTGGCAAAAATTTAGAATGTGATAGTATCAAGTGTTGGCCAGACAGGGACCAAAAAAATGACTTAGCCTACTGGAGTAAACTGGAGAGAAATGGAGTGTGAGTTGCTACAGCCACACTGTGGAGTAATTTGGCAGTTTCTATTAATACTCAGCATACATGTGTCTTAGCTAAGCCCGAGGAATTTCATGTGTTGTTATCCACCCTGGAAAAACAGACGTGTGCAAGGAAACCTGTTTGCAAATATTTACTGCAGCCCTCATGTATATGTGAATGGAACGGACAATGTGTATATGAAGAATGGCTAAACTGTGGCATATTCCCTCCGTGGAATCATATGTAGAAGATTAATAGGATTAGAGAGATCTATATCAATGGGCATGAAAACTCCAAGCCTTATTCATGTATGAAAAGGGCAAATTCCAAAGTAATGCATAAAATATAAAACCATTTTATAAAATAAATAAATAAGACAGTTTGCATTTTGTTGTGGGTGCAGACGTATGAAGGGAAGTGCGTATAATAGTGTCTGGTGAGACATACACCCAACTCATTCTTCAGTCACCTCGATGATCAGGGAAAAGGGACTGGGCTGGAGGTAGTAGTCAAAAGGGATTTTAGCTTTATAACATTTTAATTTTTTTCACTAAGGTTGTTTCTGTATTAGTCATCTAATCAAAAATTACTGTTAAAAAAAGTAAGCAGGCAATTTGGTGTGGCAGAAAACACCCATTCGGCTTACATGAAAAACCTCATTCTGCCGGCCACTGCTTTTGTGTTCTTAGAGGAAAGGCACAATAACCCTGACCTCATTATCATCATAAGACAAAGAGGAGAGATTATGCTCCCCTCAGAAATAGTTCTATGGTTCACATGAGATGAAGTATCAAATGCCACATGAAATTAACAAAGTATTAGTACAAGTAACCAAGCACTTCAGAATTTAGAAATAGGACAAGAAACTGTTCCTTCCATCTGCAAAAGTATCCTGGAGCAAAGGAATCGTCGGTATCAAATTAATTCCCCTTTTGGGGAATTAGCTAGGATGGTGGGTACAACCTTGGTTCTGGTGCAAGCTCGGTTCCTTCTCTTGCTGGGGACCTTAAGAAAGGCCCTTTTCCAATCCAAGTCTCAGTTTCACCATCTACAGAGTGAAGCGTTTGATTTGGCATCTTTTAAGAGTACATCTGGCTCTGATTGATCCTCCATGGTTCTCTCTCTTCTGAATTGGTCATTTTAGAAAAGGTACAAATGAAAACCAGACAGGCCACCAGGTGCTGCCTCCTTCAAGAAAAGCTGGAGAAGCCCACTCAATCAGTGTCCAGCCAGTAGCAGGAAAGGTGGACACAGACTCTGGCAACTTTCAGCACAGAAAAACTCTCCACACCTCAAATTCCCCGGACAAGACAAAGAACAGTAAAATCATTGATAAAGAAAGTGACAGGGACTGCTTACATTCCACTAACTCCTACTGAGTATTTGGGGAGAGAGTCAGTTAAGTGAGCAACTACTACCGGGTGACCAGTTCTCCGACAGGGGACGCCAGGGAGGACAGGAACTCGTAGCAGAAACACCTACGCTAGTCTGGAGGCTCTGGGTGCTCAGGAAGAGCCTGACTTAGGTGGAGACCTGAGGATGCATGGAGTTACAGAGGAAAGAAAGGCAGAAAGAACAGCATGACAAAGGGGTAGAGAGAACACATTGGTCTTCCTTCGAATGTAGGTGTTTTCCCAAGTCTTAACGGCACATTTGAAAGACTTGGGCAAATAACTACAAACTTTTAAAACTTCAAGGGAATTAAGTATTGTCTAGTCCTAGAATCACGTATTGTTGTAACTGGTCTTATCTAGGCCCCTCATTTCGTACTTGGAAGAGCCAGAGCAATTCAGACACGTTCACAATCTCAATGGTTAGTGACCAAGACACAGCTGCAGCTCAGCCCTGAACATTTTGCCCTGCACCACCCAGGATGCACAGGTACATAGATTTGCATCATCCAAAACCCGGAAACAATGTGCAGAAAAGAAACCTCACCTTGAAGCCTCATCCCCGGGAAAATAAGACAAAACAAAAAGCAAACAAAAACTCCTGAGAATAAAGAGAAAAATAAGAATTATAATAAGAGCTCTTACCAGAACAAATGCCTCCGGCCCTGACTGTGCTAATAATACCTACAGAGGAAATTCTCTCCCCACTTCATCTGACTCCTTATTTCTGTGTTTCTTCTTAAATTGACGTTTCTTGTATGAATACAAATTACCCCACCGTAAGACCCCAAAACCAGTCTTAGGATAAACCTTGTGTGACAAGGAAGGAGAGAGACCCTCCAAGGAAGAAAACCTAGGGAGATTCAAAGAAGTGGGCTTCTGCTTTACTGACGCCCGATCAGCCATGGAAATCCCTCACAGGATGCCAAGCTGTCCAGGAACCCCTGAATGGAAGGATTCAGAACACTTACTCAGATAAAGCCACCCGAGTTCAATCAGCACCCAGAGAATGAGAGGTCTTTTAGACATTTTGACTGTCGGCAGGCCCCAGGAGTCTGTCTGTCTGTCCAAAGTCCATTTCTTATACTCCAGTTAATGCTGACGGGGCGGGACCTTTACTTTCATTTCTCTTTTTGCCTCATAATCTTCCCTTTCCCCCATCCTGAATGGCCTCCCTCAATCCAGGATGCACGATAAAATGTGCTAAGCACTTTTCTCCTGGCCACTAGCGTGTGTGTGCTGATGTGTGGACTGATGGTATGGGAGTACATGTACTTCTCTGTCCATGCATATAGCAGGATTTCCTGCATGTGCATGAACTTTCATGTGTGTGCTTGTATGTGTGTGCGCATGTAAGCTGTGCATGAGCCACGGTCCACCTGGCTGCTGTGCAGCTTGTAATAAAATGCAATTAACGCTCCTCATGGGTAGTTGTTTACGTGTGGACATGTACATGGTCCTCATAGTGGCCATGGGAAAGTTAGTCGGGCATTTGGCTCTGCTTCCATTCTGGGTTCTCCTTCACCCAGACTGTTGGCCCCTTTGCCCTGATAATGGAGAAAGAAAAGCAGAGCCACAATCAACCATCATATAAGCCAAAATCACCATTAGAGTTTATTGGACAAGGAAAGAAGAGGTTCAATAGAGGAAGCATACTGTTGTCATTACAAGACAGGCTCAGGTAACAACAAGCCTAAGGTCTGGGGCCAATTCCACCACTTGTTAATGAAGCCACTTGATGGGGAAGAGCACAAAAGATAATTCATGAACCAGGTTACAGGGCTTGAACTAGATGATATTTATGGCCCTTCTGGACTCTACAGATTCAATGATATATCCAGGACCACAGAACTAGTTAGAGGAGGAATCAAATCAATGCACACCAACCAGCTGTGATTTCTAAAGATTTATATTACAGATTTATATCATCCTCATTGGTTATTGAATGCTTAATTATATGCCAGGCAATCTGCTAAGTGGTATAGATGTATTATTTAATTCTCACAACTCTAAGAACTAGATAATATTATTTTTCCCATTTAACAGATGAGGAAACTGAGGCACAAGGGAGTTACATAAATGACATTCACAGCTAAAAAGTTGCAAACAGGACTCAAGCCCAAGACTTGCTGATCCAAAAGCCCATGCTCTTAGTCACTACACCCTCCTTTGACCTGTGACTCTTAGGGTAATGCAGCCATAAAACCAACCATACCAGTGGCCAGTTCCTACCCAGCCCTGGAGAGAGAATTTAAGGATGCACAAATGTTCTAGATTTAAAAGAAAAAATCCTCCTTTGATTGTAACCAAACATGCCTCAAACATTCAACATTGCTTACACTGAAAGTACTTGTGAAAATACAAATATTGGGTGAGGCTCTGGACTCAGAGAAGCCAGAAAACAAGGGAATGGAATGAAAATAGAGGGATCCGGAGAAAATCTTCCCCCCGAATGCCCACTGACCTGTGGCATCCTATTCCCAGGAAATTGGGGGATTTAATCTCTGGATAAACTGAATGGCCCTAATAAAATACTTACAGATATTGATATTTGGGTGTCCCCCAACAATACCACACAATCCCCTTTCAATAAAGTCACCAGTGAATGAGCCTCAGTCATATGCAGAATTCCTAGTTAGTTTTTAGTGCATCACTTTAAATATGAATAGACAACCAAGGGATCACTAGACATTTGGAGAAGGTCTTCAACATGAGAAAGATACAAAGACAACATCCAAGATGACTTTTTCCACTCACACATCTAGTAAATTGATAGGATGACTAGAAGAGCTAGAGGCTGGACAGGCAACTCTCTCTCTCCACATGGCCTTTCCACAAGGCATCTTGAGCTTCCTTACAGTATGGCAGTCTCAAAGTAGATGGATCTTACATAGTATCTGGATTTTTCAAAAGTGAGCATTCCAACAGGCTCAGGAAGAATCTGCAGAGGTTATAATCTAACCTTAGATGTGATTCAGTATTATTTCCACTGCATTCTACTGATCAAAAGGTAAGTTATGAGGCCACCTCAGATTCAAGTAGAGGGAACAATACAAGAAAGGAAATACTAGGAAGTTCATTGGAGGGGAAGTGAAGTATCTTTGGAGACTAGTTACCATAATAACCAAACCAGGCTGGAGCAGAGGGGCCGAAGAATAAGGTTTAGGGTGGTGGTGGTGAGTATAACTGATAAGATTGTCTCATGCATCTAGGTATTTTGAAAAGAGATTTGGTAGGTCTTTGACAGATAGGTTGGAACATTATGGATGAATTTTGATGGACACTTGAGAAATCAAGAAAAGGAAAAAATGAGGCAATTATTACAATCAGAAAAGATAAAATGTACAAGAAAGAATATGTAATTATAGTACATTTGCTCAATGTGAAAGATAGTTGTATGGTAATAACAATATAAACTGTGGCTACTGGATTAACACAAAAGTGTGATATGACTGCATTGGGAAGATGGACAGAGAGGAAGTGGGGTGGGAGTACAAGAAAGCCAAACCCTATTCACCTTTAAGGAAGGTCAATAGAAAATGTTTCAAATTGATCAATCAGGCAATACCAGCATATGCACATTATTAGTAATATGGAGGGAAAAAATAGAAGAAAAAACCCAAGAGAGTTTAAATTTTATGGGAAGGAATGGGAAAGGAATTGCCTATTTTTTAGTTATAAGCCTTTTAGAATAATTTTACTTTTAAAATGTACATATTGAGCACACCTAGCACCCAGATCTTAATTTCTAAATACCATTCTCCAATACATGGGACCAGGACTCCTTGGAGAAATAGCTGATTCTAGGACTGAGCAGGAAATATTTAACATGAGTCTGGAGCACCTTGTTGGCTAGAAAGTATGGAAGTGCTCCCCCAAAACCCCACAATGATGGGATTGTTAAAGGAAGACAGGAGACAACCAAAAGAGCTGCCAATGACCAAAGCTGGAACAATCTGAGCAGCAAAATAAATAAAGTAGCACTGGATAATAACCCAGGGTATAAAATAAATATCTGTACTGATATAAATAAATGATTGAATCAAATAAGTTGGGGGGGAAGAGAAAAATCTTCTGTCCAGAAGAATTCCAAATAATTTGTGTAGACACTCCCTGCCAAAGAAGTGAAGCATGACTCCCATTCCTGAAGAATGGGCTGGACACAGTGTCTTCCTTCCAAAAAAAAAAAAGTATGGAGAGGGAGAACGAAGATTGACTTCATGGTGGAGAGACCTGGCAAACACTACCTGAGGCAGGCGATCAAGGTCAACATCAACAGAGATAAGTCATGTTGACAGTATGCGCCCTTGACGTGATGTGATGTAAATGGCACTTTACTTGTGTTGTCTTCCTCCCAAGAACCATAATCCCAGTGCAATCATGAGAAAAACAGCAGACACAACCAAATTGAGGGACATCCTACAAAATATCTGACAAACACTTCTCAAAACTGTCAAGGTCATCAAAAACAAGGAAAGCCTGAAAAACTGTTACAGCCATGAGGAACATGAAGAGACATAGCAATGAAATGTAATGTGGTGTCCTGGATAGGACCCTGCAAAAAAAAAGGCCACTAGGTAAAAACTAAGCAAATCTTTGGACTTTGGTTAATAATAATGTATTAATACTGGTTCATCAATTGTAACAAATATACCACACTAATGTAAGATGTTAACAATAGGGGAAACTAGGTGTGGAGTGTATGGGAACTCTCTGTACTATCTTCATAATTTTTCTGTAAATCTAAAGCTGTTTTAAAATAAAGTTTAATTTTTTAAATGCACATATTCTTTTATTTTAGAAATGCAAATATTAATAGTAATTTGGTATCTGGAAAGATTCCCACACTAGAAAAAGAGACTAAGCTTGGTTTTCTTCTCTTTGTAAGTTAAGGTCCATGGACAAGCTTCAAGAAATTCACAAACATCCTAATATTGGATGCTCACTTTGTATTACTGTATCAATGCATTTTATTCTTGAGAGAGGGTCCACAGCAGTTCTAGGTATTTCATGTCTTTGCCACCTTCTTTTTCTGCATAGGGAGGTTTGCTGCTGGAGAGCCAGTCCTCCCTCATTCTCAGGCAATGCAGTTCAGGTGGTATTGATTTCATTCATGGCCATAGTATTTGGCTCAAGGGTGGACAAGTTACTCAAACAAAGCCAAGGATACACAATCTTGGCACATTTACAGGGACTTTTGAGAGATGGGGACCCTCCCTATTTTCCACTAGTCTTTGAGCTGTGAGGATATGAGCCTGAATTTTAGACATCATGCCACTAATGAGTGAAGTCTGCCTGATAAGAGAACCAGTCAGGCAAGTGGAGAAATAGAGAAGCCTAGGTCTTTGACATGGTTTGAGCCCCTGAAACAAGGCACATCAATGTGCCAATCAACTACCTTTTGGGCTTAAGCCAATTTGTGTTGGGTTTTCAGTCATTTGGAATCAAAAGACCCCAAGTTATTAAACCTAGAAGGACCTCTACATAGTGGTAATTCAGCTGGATAACTAAAGTTTTTCCAGTCTTAAGAATTTACATTATTATGTGGTCCAACTACCTGCTTCACCCTGGCCTTTCAATCATTCAGCAAGTGCTTGTCAATCTATTATACTCTAGGCATGTGGGAATTCTGCTAGGCTCTGGGAATAAAGACAAATAAGGCATAGGTCCTACCCTTAAGGACATGACAGTTTCAAATCTTTAAGCTGAGAAGGTAAGGCCCCATTTTAAAGTTAAGGCCACTGGAGGCCATAGAAGATAGAAGACTGTTAAGTAATAGGAAGAAAATAGAATCCAGGTTTTCTGATAAAGAGGTCTTTGTGGTAACTAGTACTTCCTTTCTGGTAAATGGGGTTAAATATAATCCCGCTCGTTCATTTGTATTTGTTCATTTCTTCATCAATTATAGCAGGGGTTAGTGAAATATGGCCCATGGACCAAATCTAGCCCACCACCTATCTTTGTAAATAAAGTTTTACCGCAATACAGCCATGCTCATGTGCTTACATATTGTCTGTGGCTGCTTTCAC